AGCGGCCGGCCCAGCCTCAACCCGTGACACTCATCATTTATAGCCTTTAATAAGTTTGCTTTGTGTGTGTGATGCTGTTCCCATTGTGCAGTTGTCTTTTGTTCTTTTTCAGGTTGTCGAAGTGGATGCTTGCACACATAGGATTCATGCCCACTCCCACACCCTTCCCAGTTCTCTGAGCTGCTGAGGTGTAGCGTTTTGAATAGAGTTGAATAGATGGATTTGATTATAAATAGGATCTTGAAAAGTGAACTTATGTGTTCAAAGAAGAAAACACAACACACTGAAACAAAATACATTTACCTGTCAGTTATTCCTACATAATTCCTGTCACGCAATTATTAGTCAAGACATGTAATGTATAGGAACTTTTCTCCAGCGCATTTCTTTTGCTTGCTCGTTCACAAACATGAAGTCACAAATAAAAACAGTTCCTCTAGCAACAACTTGAGACAGACCTTCCTAGAAGTTTATAGGCACTGATGGCACGTGCATATAATGTGGCTTCTTCTCTTATCACAGAATTAGTAGTTATCTAAGAAGAGATCATTCTGTTACGATACCCCTCTATGGCACTGCTCCAGGGTTGCATTTCTTCAAAGGGCAGCAGATTCTTGTTTAGTGCTGCAAACGTCCCTGCTCACTCACTGGGACCTTGTGACCCAGTATAACTTCCATTGCGGTGACATCCAGGAGACAAAATCATGGCGAAACGTTCAGGGCGTCTGTTCCTGCCACTGGTGGCTGTCTTGGTTCTGCAGGTGTCAGGTAAAGCACGGGACGCTTCTTTTTAGGTCCCTGTGTGCACTGCACGGCCTGAGGCGCTGTGCGGGCCTCTCAAGGAGTTCCCTGGCAGAGCAGCGTCATACCTGTTGTGTTGAATCTTTTGGTTGTGACTCGACTTGGTAGAAGCACCTGATCGTGCAGGTTGTAAAACGGCTTTGTGCCATGCCAGGGGCAGAGTGAGCGTTTGGGTGCTGGGGGCTGGAGGCAGGAGAAATCAGGAGTGATTGTCTCCGTTGGGAGCTGTTGGGAACCCTGAGCACCGTCATGGGGACCTTGGAGAGGCTTCTCAGTAGCTTGTACGTTGCGTTCAGCAATGGCTCTCCTGGCGCTCCGTGGGGCTCTGCGTTGCTGTGAGATGATGCTTCCTGAAGGTGCCACCTGGAGAGAACCATGGTGGTAACTGGCCTTCTGTCTTAATTGTGGCTTACTCATTGCTTAATCCCGGTCCAAATACGTATTTTCTGCTGATAACATTGGGTGCCAGATAAAATTCATGCTGCCCCAATAGTCTGCCACTTCTCCCTGACAGTTTTTGAGTGGTAACAGGTATCTAATCTTCTGCTTCCTCCAGGAGCTATTTCTGATCTTGCTGTTACACTGGAGAATTTTCCTGTCCTTTGCTTCTTTGGGTGAGATGACTGTTTTCCTGTCGGATGTAAGCCTGAAGTTTAGCTCTAGCAGATGAATTCTGGCACTGGGGTGACTGCTTTTGGAAGATGTACATGGAGCAGTTGGTGTCTTGGCATTATGGTCGATGACTGGTTGTACAGTAGTGTAACAGAACAAGCCCCGGGAGAGTCAAAAGGGAAGGTCTGTAAACTGGGCTGAGGTAGCACCAAGTGCATTTTAGCAGGTTGACATTCGCAGTGCTTCGGTCTGCCTCCATTTCTGAAAGGTGTGAGGAAGCAAAAGGGAGAGCAGAGTACCAGTGTTGGCAGCTATCATCCCATCCACCCGTGGAGAGCAGGAGGGGCGTGTTTTGAAAAACACCCACAAGTCGATGGAAATGTCGTTTGACCCTTCTCATTAGTAGCTCATTTGCAAATAAACTTTTTCATTGAAGAACGCCTGATATATCTTCAGTGTAATTCCTGCGTTTCTTCAGGCGAGTGGTGAGCTGCAGTTTACTGAGATACTTTGGGATGTGTTCATGTCCCATAATGGCCATAGCAAAGCAGCTCGCTGGTGTGTCTTTGGATCCCAGTCCTGAAGATCATCTGAGTAATAACATGTTGTGGAGGAGCTGTGAGACAATTATTACTTTGAGGCAGAAGATGGGCTGACGTGGTCAGAGTGCTGTGGCACTTTATGAGAGGTAGGTAGAGAAGGTGATTGGAGCGCTGAGCTTTTTCTGATGGCAACATGAAAAGTGAAAGAGAAATTCCTCTTTTTCACAAAGATTGGTTTTCAGGTTCAGTTTCTCGCCGTAGCGTAGTGCATCGTGTTTTGTGTAGGAATGGCAGCAGTGGTGTCCTTGTCCTCGTCCAGAGGCTGACTGCAAACTAATAGTCCAGCTTGTTCCTGAGTGCATCTTCTGATACGTGCTTGGAGTTTGGAGTGGATGGTATTAGTCACAGTATGATGCTTTTTCCTTTTGTTAAACAATTTTGCTGAGCAGTGACAATCCTAGCTCTTTTTAGTATCGGGCTAGTTTTATGGTCCTTCTGCTTTCCAGGTCTTGAAGTAGGAAAATTGTGGCAGTACACAGTCTGAATGCCTTTTTTTTACGTAGCGTTCGTCTGCTTGGACAGTGCTCATAGCAGTTTTCCATAAGATACAGACTATTCCCACCTTGGTTTCTGAACCTGCTTGGAAGCATTGGACAAACTGGACAAGCGTTTTCCTCCGTGTAGGTGATTGATAACCGTGTGTGGGTCCCCAGTCAGCTGGGGGATGCATGCAAATGCAAAATTCAGCAGTGCTGTGCTTTATTGGGAATCTCCTTGTGTGAGAACTGTCTTGCGCACAAGCCAGCTGCATTTGCTCTGAGACTTTGAAAGCAGGATCAAAGCTAGCGGGTAATTGCCCAATAAAGTCGGGCTGTTGGCTTTGATGCACTTGGAAGTGAGGCTTCCACTTACCGTGGTGCAGAAGCCGGACTGGGAATTGCCCGGAGATTTACAATTGTGACAGCGTGAAGATGGATGTGAATAGTTTTGCTTGAGATTTGCTGTCTCTGTTAGCTATCAAATTTTGTTCTGCCTCGCCGTGGTGTGGGGTAGACTCAGGACAACTGTCTGGTTTCAGCAGTGTTTATCCTGTAGCTCTGCGTACTGGATCAGCCTGGAGGAGCTGAGAAGATTCGGTTGATTAGTGTTGATAACATTTCTTTTTTGTAGCTTAGCTAGGTCTTACCAGACAAAGGAATGCTGTAACTGCTGCTTAGTGTGGGGTTACGCTTGTGCAAAATGTGATAGGAATGCTTGACTCCGAGGATGAGAACTGTTTCTAGAAAAGAAAGGTTTTTCTCTCGAGGCTGACTGTGCTCGGACTGATCAGACTGAATGTGCCTGCTTAGTAGTTACCAGCTTCGGTTAGAGTGCGTCTTACCCGTGGCCTTCGGGTAGGTACGCCAAGTGCCATCTGATGATGCTTTCCTAGGAGAAATACTGAGCTGTTGGGGAGGTGTGAGGAGAAGGTCTTGTTGATCTGCAGTCTCTGCCAGCTCTCCTCGCCGTTGTCTGTTCCCCTGCTCGGTGAGCTGGTCCACATCTTGCCGGCAAACGTCCCCATGATGCTGGGTTCTGCGGAGCTCGCTTTCCAGGGCAGACCACAGGCCAGTTCTTTCACAGGGGTTCTGTGGCACGGAAGGAACGGCAGTGCTTTCGCTGCCGTGAGAATATGTTGAAGCCTGTTGGACTGACCAAAACCCATCGTTGGGGTGGCTGAAAGAGGAGGAGGCAGTGCCCTGGGCAGTTGCTGGTGCAGAGCCCTGTTCTGATGCAGCGTGAGGTGGTGGAGAGGGACGAAAGGGAGTTGCTAGGTCAGAAGGATGAGTGTGTATGGTTGTGGTAGTGTTAGTGTAAGCACGGAAGAAGGGTGAGTCTCTCTAAGTAAGCAAGTTAGTTGTATTAAAATACAGGAGTGTTATTTTTATAATGGAGTCTTGTTGTACCATAATTGTTACACAGTATTAATAGATTTCTGGTCTGAATTCAAACTTGACTGGTAACTGTGCTTTAACTGGTTTCCGATATTCCAGTCACTCATTTACAAAAGAATGTAAGGTCAGACCCTGGTTTGATCTCCTTTGGAGTCGCACATTCTGAGTGTGCATGTGTGCGTTTTCGCCAGGAGGAAACATGACGGTGATCTGCTCTGACCTCTGGCATAAACCCGGCCACATGTGTTTGAGCCTTACAGGTGGACTCAATAACTTGGGATGAAACTGCAGAATGCCTCTGGAAGACATGAGGTTTCAATCCCGATTTGAGGTCTTTTAGTGGTGCCAAATACATTGCATTCTTTAGTCACGTTTAAGAATGGAAGAACTTTCAAAAAATACGTTAATTTCAACACGAAGCTACTAGAGCTGGTGATCACTTGTTAGGCCTTTCATCAAACGTCTTCTCTCTGTATGTGCTTGTAGGTGGTGTTGTCTGGAATTAAACAGACTGGGCTCACCAGTGCCCGGTAGCGAGGCAGCCCTGCCGCGGCTCCGCTTCTCTGCTTGGAGAAGGGCTGCTCTCCAGCATCCTACCCGCTCGGCATCAGGAGTTTTTAAAGACAGTGAGGTAGAGGGGAACATCTTTGCCTCCATCAGCTTTGCCCTTCGCCCTTGAGCTCTATTTGGGTTAAACCATGAGGAAGAAACAACAGGAGATGTTTATCTCTCTCTCTTTAGTTAGGACTTGCTGTCGTCCCAATAAACTTTCTGGAATATCGTAGCAATTCCCAGGTATTCTTGGATCCCCATCACCTTTCTACTCTATCCAAATGGTGGCTGCTAAAGTGATCTTTACGAGAAGGCTGAGAAGGTTGGACATTTTATGATTGCAATTAGGTTAACGCCATATTGGCATTCATTCCTATTTTCCTACTGCCCTTTTTCTCTCTTGCCCACCCGTGTTGTTGTTCTTTACTGAGCTCGCTCACTACTTTATTAGTCCTTTTGTATCTTTAAATATCATATGCCATCTGACACCCTGTCCCTTCTGCCTTGTGTATGACAAATGTATTGATAGTTCATTGGAGATGTAATACAATTTTCTTTGGTTCCCAGTGGATTCAGTTTACTGTGTTGTTATACAGTTATATTGTTCTGGGAAGAGTCTGTTTGCATTTGTTGTTGCGGATGGAAGTGAGACTGGCAATGCCTGCCAGTGTAAGCTGAGCGTAAGTCAACAAGGAGAAGAGAGCTCCACTGGAGAAAACGGGCTGAGATTAGGATCGAGGTGCAAGGGAGCCTAAGGGTACGAACAGCTCCCGCTGCGAAGCAGCCTGTGGGTTGCTGTCCTGCCTCACAGAGCTTTCCCTTTTCTGGGCACCCTCTGTCTCCCTTTGCCGCACGTCATTGCTAATGGGAGGGATCCGGCTTTTTTAAGTGCAGTTCTGATACTCCCTGTGCTGGCTGGTTCTTCCTACACGTTAAGGGGGGTTGGACTAGCTGATCTCCAGAGGTCCCTTCCAACTCCTGCCGTTCAGTGATTCGGTGATAACGCACATATACACATAGTATGTTGGCTAAAACTTTCAACTATCTACCTTAGGGATGAAAATCCCTGCTGACATGTGCTGTGCGCTACCCCAGTCTTTGCTGTAGCATGTTCTGACTTTGTTATAATCCTGCACTTTAGTTTCTGTGCTCCCTGTTGTCTCCTCGTTTTTTGTTTTTTGGTTTTTTTTTTTTAAATAAATGTTGTTGGAGAGCTTTCATCACTGAACCTTACTTGATAAAAGTTCCTGGGTTTTGGGGTTTTTCTTTGAAGTGTTAGTGACTGTTACAGGGCCTCTCTTTGTAAAAAGCAGTAACAAACATTATTTCCCTCAGATCCGCTTTGTCAAGTGCCTCTTCACGCAACTAGAGAGATGGCATGCCTGCCAGCTCACGGCTGGTTTGATCTCGGGCTGGTTTTTGTCTTTATGGAGAGAGTTAAAATGGAGAGAAGTCTTTCCAGTAACAAAACACATCCCCTAAGCCCCGTCCCATGAAAGTCGGTTGATACCACCTGAGCTGACTGAAGGAGAAGCAGCTTGTGTCTGCGGGTCCCTTTTCATCGGGCGTGCCGCCTGCTGGCGTGCCGTCGCGTTGGCCTCGGGTTACTCAGCCCACCTTCCACTGCTGGCACAACTGGGGACGGTTTTCAGAATGGCATTGAAAGCGATTATTTTGACCTTTTCGGGAAGGGGAATCTCCTAGAAACGCCTGTCATCGGGGTCAGGGCTCGTGTCTGTGTGTGCAGCACCAGCTTTGCCCACGGCTGGGGCTGGGTGAAAGGCCGAGTGAAATACTTCTCCTCTTAGCGCTGGGGTGGCTGCGTTAGCGTGGTCCTCCTGGAGCTGTCGCGTGGCTCTTGTCCTTATCTGGGATCGAGTAGACCTTTCGAAATGGAGGTTGGTGGGTGACACATGGACAAACCAGTTAACTCGGTGCTGACCATCCCTTTCCTCTCCTGTTTCCTGGGAAATGGAAGCACGTGGAAGCAGACTGTGGGAAGCAGAGGGAAGCCGTGGTCCGCCGGTCTGCCGTGCCTCTGGGCAGCCACTGACCTGGCCAGCTTCAGCCTGTCTTTCAGTATATGGTTTGAAAGAAACTTGCTGTAAAAAACCCACCAATATTCCCCCCCTCCCTGTAATCAAAAGGGGACCGAAAAGTGGCAGCTAGGCTGCGAGCACATTTTGTCTCACGAGTTTCTCAAGATTGTTAATGTCAGGGAAACCAAAGGAAAAAGAATGTAAGTTCAGGTGGCAGCATGTAACCTTTTCCTTTGTTCTTCTCATCCCTGGCTTCTTTAGGCTTAGATTTCTGGGCCAGTATAAAATTTAAACTTGAAGGCAGATGAAGTGCTGCCTTATTTTTAGTGGCTATAAGCATTTGTGGTGCCTTTTGTTTGCCTATTTAGTGGCAAGACTCTGGATTGGAGCAGTATGGAAATGTTGGGGTTTTTTCTTTCCACAAAGTTCCCAATTGCTCTAGAGTACTGGATTTTTACAAATGGGGTTACTTATGCTTACTACACAATGATTACCTTTAGGACAGCTTGTACTTTAGAAAATACACATTTTTAGATTCCCAGCTTCACAATTACACTTTGATTTTTTTTTTTTGCAGCTGCCTCCACACAGATTTCTGTGCAAATGCAGAATTGGGACTCCAGCTGTGGACTCTGTCAGTTGAGTCCTAGCGTAACTTCAAGTGTGGTTTTTTTCCTTTTAAAACAAAACTTCTACAATTTTATAGGAAACCTTATTCACATACTTTTCTTAAAATACTCTGGGCTTTTTTGGGGAGGGGTTGTTGTCTTTTTTTTGTTATTATTATTTTTTAAATGACCCATTTAGTGTGAGGAAAAACTTACTGAAGTTTCTTCCTTAAGTGTACGTGTGAGGATATAATGCTGTTATGCAGAATGACACGGACTCCTACCATTTTCTGCAGCCGTCTAGGGTGCTGCTGAAATGCACTTGCAGCCACTTTGGCCGTTACGCCCTGCCATTGCTCTGGAGAGTCAGGAAAGTAGTTGGTCATGTGCTATGGGTGGTGTTTCTGATGTTCAGTTCTTAGGTGAGGGTGAGATTTTATGTCTTGACCTTTGGCTGTTTATTCCCAATTGCGGAGATGTTTTCACAGATTTTTTCAAAGATCCGGGTTTGCTTGCAAAGTAAATTTGTTTTTTATTAGAAATAGATCGTTGTGCTGAATTGATTTACATGTTTATTACGTTGGCAAGCACGGTTTTATCAAAGCATCCTGACGAAGGAAAAGGAAACAGTAGCAGGCACAGACTGAGGGGATGGATCCACTTACAAAGGCATGGCATGGTATGTCAACAAGGAACATCCTGATAGGCTTACTCCATAGTGGATAAAGAGTATTTCTCAATTCTGTGTTTTGGGGAAAAAAAATTCTAATTACTTTGAGTTTGTGGCGATAAACGTAACTTAGTTTTCAGTTGGAACTGGCTAGTTGTCTGATCTGCAGAAGAATCTAGATCCTGTGCTTTCTGAACTTACCTCATCCAAAAGGTCTGCGCTGCAAGTTTAAATAGTTTAAAATGCTGGAAGTAGGAGGCAGAAGTACCAGTAAGCCAACTAATCACATTGGAATTCAGTCTTTTAGGGAGTTGCTTTCTTGGACAAGTCTGTAAGTCTGAGTGTTTTATTCTTGCCATCTCTCAGTTGGGGGCTGCGTGTGGTACTCTGAAATCCTTAGATGAAGGATGCTGGAAATATAAAAATCTGTGTGGTAAGATGGTGTAATGCCGAATCCCAGCAGAGAGGTATGTGGAAAAGATTTGAACCTTGAATGTCTTTCTGACACGTTAACGTGGGCTTGTTTAAGAGCTGCAGGGCCGTGTAAGGGAAGCGGTTGCAACGAAAATATTGAATAACCTAGTGTAAATGTGAAATGAGTGAAATAAGCATGGCCAGCTAAAGCAGTGCCTAATTTATCTAAGGTGAACATTTATTTCATTGCTCGGTCTGTTTGAATTCTTCCTTTTAAATGACACTTTGACATCTTTTGTGTAAATTAGATATATTAATGTTATTGTATTTACTTGTAGGTGGCTCTAACCAAGAGAGCTGATCCAGCTGAGTTGAAAACAATATTTTTGAAGGTATGTATAAAGTAAATATTTTACTCTTTCTGCTTAAATTTTTCATATCTTTTGCTCCTTTATTGCAGCATACAACTCTTGATAGTTTTTCCAACCGTTAATCATTCACTGTATTATTACCATGTTAGACTTAAATACCATTATGAGAAATTGAACAATGCTCACCAAGAAGTCAGATACATTCCTGAGTGATTATTGTATTGACTCAGAAGAAGTATTACTATCTTAGAAAAAACCTGCATTGTTCGGAGGATGTGGTGGGAGTTTCACTATTGTTCCTACACCTGGTAGAATGTTCCTGTAGACACCTTGCTGTTAGACCATTGGTAAACTTTCTTCTCCCATCCTTGCTTCCTTCCCTCGTCAGGGTTATCTCTGCTGCTCTAATTTGTGGAGGTGTTGGGAAGATCACCTTGTGAAGTGGTGGCTGTATTTGTTATTTAACTAAATTCCTTCTGTGTTGGCCTGCTACAGAAGCACAGGAGTAAAGAAACGACTCATGTACTCGCTTGTATACTTGAGAGAAGCGTGCTCTGGTGTTTTGCTGGAATTGGGCTTTCTTTGGCCCATCTCCTAAATTGAATTAACTATTCCTAACCTTCCTAAGATTTATTAGCACAGTCTCTGTATTAGTTTGGTAGTCTGGTAGGAACAAAGAGTACAGAAATCGCCGGGTCTGGAGGATACGTGTGAGGCAGGTGCCACAGTGCCTCGGGGAGCTGTTGGATCTGAATTATTTTTGTGAAGGTGTTGAGTGCCTAAGAGAGCTCATACCTTTCCAAGTTCCTCCCTCCACCTTCCCCCTCTCCAGCGTCATGCCCCACTCTCTGCACTTCTTGGCGTGTTTTCCATTGTCCCTTGTGAGCTATTATTAACAATATGTGTAGGTGTCACTATGTATATTGCCAGTATTTATAGTTTTATCATATACTGTCGGTATTTATAGCTCTGAAGTCAGATTTGCAGTTGAGAAAGACAGGATTTAACTTACTGAGTCCTGGAACTTGTATCTGTCAGAAGAGCGAAAAGACTTTTGATAGAGAACGGGATAAGGTCATTTTCAGGGGTAAATGCTTGAAGAGCAGGAGCAAGGCAGCAGAAAAGCCAGAGATGGAGTAGACTGCTGACCGGAGAAGATGGTAGCATTGAGGAAGGGGAGAAACACGGTGGAGGGAAGCCCGTTCCCCTCTGCAGTGTGAGGTGGCGCTCAGCTGTGTGTGGGGTGTTGGTTGGTTGGTTGGTTTGCTAGAACAGCGTGAAGGTTGTTTCCCGCCAGCCTGGGGGTGTTCACCTCCTGTGTTTCTGAAGGCGGTGGCTCCCTCAGCGTTCAGGTTTGGTGGATTGAATGGGTCATGGTTGAGCACGCTGAACACCACCTCCAGCTCCTTTCTTCCTTTTCCACTGAAGAGAAGGGGTCTCAGTAAAGAGGAATAATGAAGTAGGAGCTAAACGTTTTGTTCAGTGTAATGCAGAAATTGTCGTGCCACTTGCTGCTGAGGAGTAGAAAGGATGAGTGAAGGTGGTACGTTGTGTTGTGCTCCACGGAGAAGTGATGGCCAGAGTGTTAGTCAAGCTGCTTTGGATAATTGTTAAGCGATGAGGCCAATACAGTTGCTTCTGTGGATTGTGGGATCTTCACTTCTAAAATGACTTGACAGCCATTTTTTCCACTTCAATTAAGAATTAAAAAAATATGATTGCCAGGTAGGAATGGTACCCACTGTGTAGAAGTAAGTATGAAGCTATCAGTTTAAGTACAGTCGATCACAGTCAACTTTTAGCATATTTAGTACATCAAACTCCCAATAAATTGTTTGCAAATCTTATTTAAAATGGGGTTGAACTGGTTAATACTTGACTATCTGAAATGTATGTAAATAAGTTACCAAAAAGCCATTAAGTACTATTATATAATATCAAATTCTCTGTGGGTATGATTGCCAAAATGGGGAAAAATACAATTGTACAGAACCATTTTTTCTAATGTCTCTCCTCCAAAACCAATAGAATTGATGCTTTTCTCTTTTTGTTATGGTAATTTCCAAGAGTAACTCTACTTTTTCAAAGTCTTCTACCATAACCCCTAAGAGATGAGATTTTAGTCAAAGTGATCAAGCTGACATTTTCCAAGGTCATTTTCTATATGTAGCACAGAGGACGTGCTTGGATTTCAAATGCACTTGAGTAAATCAGAATGACAAGAAACAGGGGGACACTGAAACCTTGTGCTGTTTTCTGTTATTGAGTGCCCTAGCAGGGGGTTAGCCTGGATGAAGAAAATGAAATATAGAAGCATAGGCTGGCTGACTGATTGGATTTGTTTCTCAATAGCAGCTGTGTTAAAAGTTTCTGAGCCTGCGATTCTGAAAGGTTCTGTCTCCCTGCAAGTGATTACATTGAAATCAATTGATCTGCTAGTTCTTATAAAAGTATACAATTCAAGATGCCTTGCAGTGTATCAACTAGAAAGCTTGTGTTACAAACGGTGTCTATTGAAACAGGAATCCTTAAATGCTACCCAATATATAGATGCCAAGGCAAGTTACGTTTTATTTGGGCTTGCTTCTCTGAAGCCCTGTTTCTTGAAGATATTGCTGTACCTGAAGACTGTATTTATATAGCACTAGAAGAAAATAATCTACTTACTGTTACACTGTGGTGTCCCTGTGAGAGTTAGATGCCTACAGCAGGTATAACAGTACTCTGCAGGCACCGGGGTGGCTCTGTGGAATGAAAACGGGCAGTTTCCCTCCCTTAGCAGAGCCATAGCAATGTAAAACAAAACACGTGTCTTTGAAGTACGCTAGGAAACAGCAATAGGCATCTAATTTATTTATTACCTCAGTGTGGATAATGCTCTGTGGGGAGCTGCAACAATGGTTGATCATCCTACCTTGCCTTAAAAAAAATAAGAAATGAACAGTTCCTTTCCTGTTCTCAGTGCCCGTTTGTTATTGCAAGACAGACCTGTTTCCCTTAAAGCTGACACATGGCTCTGCGGATGTTGCCTGGGAGTTCTTTTCCTCTTTAATTATTGTCCTTATCCTTTTTCTTTCCTTAAAAAACATTTTTAGGGTTGATTCCAAATTTACCCTTCCGCAGAAAATGGGAGCTTTAAACTTGGAGGGATGACTGAGGAGTCAGGGTAAAGGGGGTAACAAAGGCAATTTTATTTAGCTATGTGTTATCTTCAAAATATTTTAATATTTCTTTTCCTTGGTGTGTAACATGTTGCTGGAGGCTTCCCTTGGGAGCAAATACACTTGGGTCTGTCGGTAGCTGTTTTCTGGAGCAGTATGCCAGTAACCACGGTAGGAAGCGGGAGTAACGTACGGCAGCGGCGTTTGGTGAGGTGTCGGACCTGTTTTCTTGTTTCTGCGCTGGGCTGAACCGTCAGAGCTCTCGTTTTCTGTTACATTTTCCTGCAAATGCAATTCTCTGGCCTCCTTTCAGCCCTTCAACCGAGGAGGAGTATCTGTAGGTTCTCCTTCACTTAGGGACCAGCCGTGGCTGAAGGTGATGCGGTGGAGTTCCTCCAAAACAGCACCCTCAGGTGGATGCTCTTGTGGCATCGTTCACTCCACTGGCGCTGCGATGTCACCTCGAACCTGCCTTCTCCTCCCGCAGCAGAGTGGTGACCCAAAGGGGTCCTTTCAGATACACACGATGTGCTGGAGCGTCCCGCTGCTGTCGGAGCGCGGGCCGGAGACCCACAGGCGTGTTGGCAACCGTGCGGGTGCTTCTTGTGCTACTTCAGGGAGACGTTCGGTGCTGGAGCGTTTCCAGACTTACCGTGGAGAAATGGTTGACAAAAACTTGTGTGTCTGCCGCTCCTCTGGCTGGGAAGCCAGGCCTTCCGCGGTGGGAGCGCTCCCCGCTTGCTCTTCCCTGTTGGGGTGCGGGCTGTAGGTTCTTCAGAGCAGAAGTGTCGTCTGCGGAGACGTCAGCCCGCTCCTGCTTGGAAGCCATGGGTGGTGGTAAGAAATGCCTGGAGAAGGATGTATTTGAGGCCCTAAACGCTGTCTTCGTTTCGCAGTATGCAAGCGTGGAGAAGAATGGCGAATTCTTCATGTCTCCTAACGACTTTGTCACACGGTACCTGAAGATAATTGGAGATGGTTTGCCTAACGCGAGCACTGTACAGCTCCTTGCAGGTGTGGTGGATCAGACAAAGGATGGGTAAGTGGGTTTTTTTTGTGTTTGTTTTCTTTTTTCTGTTGTTCATTTAAAACATACAAAACCATTCTTCCAAAACAGTCTGATCCCTGAAGGGCGGTCGGGTTTGGTTTGGTTTTGTTTTGTATTTTGCCTTTTTCCCCTGCAGATACATAAAGGAATATGGTCTCTTTTAAGTGGAAAGAGTAGAAACAATGTTTTGGGCTGCGTGTACCATTTAGCTGAGCAAACCATTTTCTGTCTACTATGTATTTTTAATTCATTAAAGCTTTCATGTTTGTTGTCGGTCTCCCCTAACTCCTGCTTTTCTTTCCTTCCATGAGCCTTTCTGTCTCTGTTTACTTCATGTATCTGCCACAAACACATTCAAATAGAAATCCAAAATAAGTTTAGATGGTGTAGGAAGAGATCGTAGAAAAAAGTGCCTCTGCTTTTTGTTTTGCCGTAGCACTGTTGAAGGTTTTTGTCACTGTTTTTTCCTGTAAGAGGGAGGAGGAGCAGCCAAGGTATTTAGGGAGCCATCCTGGGAAGACAGCAGTGAAGTTGGTTGCACATGGTTTGCATTTGAAAGGCTGACTTTGGCAATAGGCAAGATTAGCTACCCCTCCGTCTTCCCCCCCCACCCCTTTCTTTAATGAAGCTCTAGATTTTGCTTTTGATACTTGCCCAGGCAAGCTGTCTCTTCACCCATATGAATGCAGTTCTTGAACCCTGCCTTTAAAGTATCTTTAGAGAAACTTTAGAATAATTAGCTGTGGACTTAAAGTCTGTAGTTGTGGCATTTTTAGAAACCAGAAACTTCAGGCATGACTCATATCAGTGGTTGCAGAGAGTAAAAGGTGAGATAAATAAAGCATGACGAGGGAACGCAGGCTTCGTGGCAACAGATGCATGCAGCGGTTTCTGTGCGCTCTTTTCTGCTCAGCCAGCCTCGTGTATCTGGCAGCTGGGCACCTGAAACCTCGCAGACGAGTTAATGGGATGATTGTTCCCCCTGATAAAAGAATTCTGTGAAAGGTTATGTTGGTAACAGTGGCACGATGGCAGCAAGAAAGTGGTGGCTTCAGATGGTGTTTGGCTGAAAACGTTGAACATTTCTCAGGTTTCTTCCCATGGTCTGGTGCCTGCAGAAACGGCGTTTTCCAGATTGCACGGCTTCAAATCCATTTTGTAATAAGCAGATTGAGAGTATAATCCATGCCTTGTGATTTGGATCTCCATCACACGCAGAAGCTGGTGTCAGGAAGAGCAAAATGTAAAACTGTAGCCTGTGTGAACTTGTCAACAAGTTGGGATTTCGTTACTTGGCGTGATCTTGTAGGAGCTTTGCGGTGTAGTATTGAGGCTTCTAATTGCAGCTTTCTGTCCTGGGTAAGGGCTGGTTCTGCAGTCCAGACTGTGCAGTGACAGGGGACTGCGTGTTCCTCGCGTGTCTTTGGAGAGCCTCTTCTGGTGTTCAGGCTCTCTTCTTGCTCAGCTGCTGCACTAACACGGGAAAGAATGGAGAAAGTTCAGAAAGTGATTAGCGTCCATCTTTCTACCCTGGCATTGTAGCATCTTTGCCGCGTGGCCAGGCGTTTGTACCTTGTTCTAGTGGTGTATAAAGTAATTCCCAGAGTGATTATTTGAAGCACGGGTCAATCACCTTTTGGTTCCTGGAATGAAATCTCCTGGGGATGGCAATAGGACCTACTGGTCTTCTATTGAACTCTTTCCAACTTGGCAGGCCAGAGCTCCTCGTTTTAAAGTGATGTACGAAACTGCTTTTGTTAGTGTTTGTTTTTAGTGGGCTGCTCAGTGTTGAGAGACTCGCACGTGTTCAAGGTCCTGAGAGTCTGTGCAGTAATTTGGCTTTATTTCTAGTATGGAATAGAAGTTAGCTTGCAAGAGCAATGACGAGTTAATTTTGTTACAGTGTCAGTGGCTTAAAGTAGCGCGGTTCTGAAAATACTGCTAGGATATTTCTAGAAGCATTTATCCGCTGTCTTGGATCCCTGTGTTGCTCTGAAGAAGCATCTGTTCTTCATGGCTGGTGAGCGTAACCACTCCTTGCTGAAAGGGTCTGAGCCCAGAATCGCCGGCACTTTTTAAAATGCCTTTTAATTCCTTCTGATTTTGGGGAGAAGTCAGGTATAGGTGCCTTGTGTAATCAGTGAGAAATACTGAGGTGGGTAAGTCACGCAGGGGAAAGGCAGGCAGCCCAAGAGCTTCTGACTCACGAGCAGAGCAGACAAGTGGGCAAAGAGCTGCTTACCCCAGCGCTGCAGAAGTCCCGCGTGTGAAGCGCAAGGAGCAGCAGCTCTTACAGAGGGTCTCGCTGTGGTTGCTGTGGACAGAATCGCTCGTGTAGCTCCGGCATGACTCCTGCATTGCCAGAGGTTGAGGATTTGAGGGTATCTACAGGGGCTGCTGTTGGTGGGACAACGGTACCAGACCTCTTAAGGCAGCTGCTGTCCTTCAGTGGGCGTCTCTGGCCGTAGGAGCAAGTTTTGTCTCTGTGGGCAGTCAGGACGTGAGGTTATTTGGAGGGGGGCTTTCCTTCCGCCCTCTTACCGAGGCACCTTTTTAAGGTTTCCTGGGAGAGGAGGAAACGCTTTTCTCGCCGACGGCCGGAGAAGCCTTCCAGAGTAGTCGATCGGGGATAGCGCCGGTATTTCCAAAGGGTCACAGCACGCGGCCGGAGTTGGTGCGAAACGGGCGTGAGAGCCGCGACTGGCTCCTGGCCTTAAGCTTCTCGTTCCTAATTTCAGTTCAGAAGAAATGCTTCCTTGGGCTGCAGCTGCACCAGAAACTCCCCCAAAACGCAGTGGCTTTCTCCAGGCCTATCAGCAACAGGCCAGGCGTTCGCCAGCCTGCCTACTGTAGCATATTGTTTTTCAGTCTTTTGTTGTACTTTTAACCATCTGTCTAACAAAATAAGTATTTACTGCACGTCTCTGTTTGGACGGTAGTAACTGACACTCTACTGAGGAATACTGCATGCTTTATTTTTAGAAAGGACGAACTATCCAAAAATAACACTTGGAAACGCCAGCATTTCCCATTACTGTTGGATATAAATTTATTCTCTAATGCACCAATTTACACTATACTTAGGTTACCTAGGTTGCTGTGTAAAATAATAGCTGTAGCTTCAATTTATGTCCCATTATGTTGCCGTGTTTAAATTGCTGATACACTAAAACATATGCATTGATTTCTGAAGAAACCTCTTCATCGTTGCATTTGTATATATTATTACAGTGGGTAATGGCTTTTTTTCTTTGCCTGGCTCCACGCTGACTTTCTCTGGTGGGAACGCGTCGTGTCGCCGGGGTGCCCAGGTACCACGGGTGTGAGCACCAAAAGCAGCAGCCTGGTAGGAAGGAGAGAGTGGTAAATAGCGGGTTTGCTGCACCATACCCAGATGTCGTGTTGGGACTGTAGCTCTTGCGTGCGGATGGCTTGATAATATCAAGATTTCAGCCTTCCTGAAGAAAGCGTGCGATATTGGCACTGATAACGAGGCTGTGGAGGTGAAGGAAGACCCGTCGGATAGGGTACGTTCAAGATGGAAGTAAAAATTTGTAAACATTGCAGCTTCCTCTCTTGGCACTGCTAAAATCACTGGGCTTTTCTCTGCTTTTGTAACATAAATGAGCACTTGCTTAGGTAGATAATATAACTCTTAAGTAGCATATTGAAGTCCACATTAATATGTGCTGTTTAATGATACCTAATGATATTCAGCGAAGGGTGATGCTAAACCCGAAAGGGTGATGCTAAACCGGCGAGAAAATGTGTTACCCAGGCAACTGCCCGTGAGCGGTGTAGGGGAGCGAGCGTGTGGCGGGGTAGGACACGTTATTTCAGCATCTTTGAGCATCAAGAAGCACACGTGTAATTGACTGTGAAAAATCACCGCTCAGTTACTGTATTGTGTGGTCATAATAGAAGTAAATGAATACGTCATTGTTGTTAGAATAGATCTGTTGGGAATCACTAGCGGGCTGGTCTACTTAGGGAGCAAAAATACAATAAGAAGAAAATAGCTGGTTTAATTAACATGTAAAAATTGGGTTAATTTGAATTCAGCTGGCGCAGCAGATATTAATGTCTCTTCTTGAGCAGTCTGGCTAGAACCACACAATTTGTACACTTTTAATCTTCCTCGTACTATGAATAATTGTTTTTAAAAATGGATATGGGGTTATTTTAAGCATCTCTCTCTAGCTTAGTGGAGGGGTTATTACTTGGAAGTACTGACAAAGAATGCTTCTACCGGTGTAAAATCTTGTGGCAGTGTTAATATGTGGAGCTTTGATCAAATCCAGGTCTCATAGCTATGTGCTTGCCGTGGTGCTGGGATTCTGCCGGGATAGGTGCTGTTTTTCTGTTCTGCGCCGTCGTCGCTGTGTTGGGATGTGTTGGTAAGGACAGACCCTGGTGGTTGTTTCACCCCAAAAGCTGCTTTATCAGAATGGTGTTGGCAGATACTTTACATTTTTAATCCTAAACAACGCTATTCTAGAGTCTCGTTGCCCGCTGTCTGTTTTGTTCTTTCTGTGGGTGGGCTTTGCAATCCTTGGGACAGAAGAATTCACTGCTTTGTGTCTGCTGTGGTGGAAGTTGGCAGGTATGTAACCAGTAATAATGGATAATAATGAGCTTTTATTTCCTGTAAGTCACATAATAACAATGAATATGCATAAATGCAAAGCCAAATAGCTTGTGATATATTTCTTGAAGGGAATGTTGCACTTTTGAAAATTTCTTTTGGCTTAGGAGCGATGAAAGTTGTCTTCTTTCTTTAAAGACTGAGTATCTGTGTGTTCTGTGTCTAGGAGGGGGGGAGTCCTGAGAGCTCCCAAGGAGTGTAAACGCCTCGGTGGGTTGCCCATGTGCTACCGTGTGTTTATGTACCCAGTCGTTGGCTTCCTTGCCAGTAAAGCTTGAGGCACGCTTACATGTTTACTGGCATCATCAATTGTGAGTTTAATATTAAGAATACCTGGGGAGGTTTCTTTTTCTTTCGTTCTCACACTACATAATAACCTCTGGCGGCAAGTTCCCAGACTAATTATTTGTTAGGCTATTTCTGACTCTACGTATACTTTCTTTTATTTAGTGCATGTCTATTGAGGGAGGTCAAGCAGAACGGCTTTTTGCCCTTCTCTGGGCCGTGCGCTTGTTTTAACGTCCCCTTTTGTTCATCCTCGTGCGTTTTCCTGTTCTTCACGGAAATCGGCGCCTGTTACCCGGTGGGTGTTTGGCTGCTGACGGGCAGCAAGCACACTTCTGTGTGACCAGAAATGAATTCCCTTGAGACGGGGTGACTGGAAATTGCTGTGTAGTCGTGGGTCATCGTAACTTGATGGCAGGAATGTCTGTTCCAGCCTATTCGGGCACTTTGTTCCTCACTGTTGCTGCATACCGAGTGGAAGTTTTCATTTCGAGTCACTCCGAAGGATACGGCTAGTTTCTAATGAAAACCAATTAATAATTTATTTTTGCGTGTGTTTCTTGACATTTGTTACACTGAATTTTGTGCTTCTCGGAAATGAACCTTTGTTCCCCAGCTACTGCCATGTGAACTCATGAAAGCTGCGTGCTTGCTGTGCTGGCAGCCTCGAGAGAGGGCAATCTGAAACCTCCCAGGCTGCCAGCGGGCCCTGCAGCCACACATTTGAAGATGATTTTAAACTGTACAACCTAGACATTAAAGAAGTAGGAAAACAGAAGAATGGTTGGCCTTTGCCTCTTTAAGAGCAGGAGTTTGGTCTCCATTTGAACTCCTGGGTGTGACCCAGCGAAATTAGAGCTGCTCAAGGTCTTTGCTGTACCAAATCGGCTGCTGGAAGCAGCGCCAAGTTGTCTAATTATGTATTTCTGCTTATTAACTAACTTAAGGAAGGGCACCTCTGCTTTTATGTGCGCTCTGCTCCTGCGCCCGCCTTGCGGGGAACCTGGCGGTAGCGATGAATTTGAATAAACTGCTCTTGGGCTGAGGCAGAACAGGCAGACAGCGGCAAACGCTGGAAATGTGTGACTCGACACGCAGGACTGGAGGGCTGCGGTGGGTGACTAATACACTGCTAGCAAGCAGATAGCACGTTCTGATCGGTTCCTTCTGAAGTGAGTGGCAGCATGTTGGTCTTGAAGAGATTTGCTTCCCAAAGGCCTCAAGTACTGAGTCTTGAGGGAGGTTGCTCATGTCTTCGCTGGCGCTCTGGCTTGCCTGCGGAGGGAGGGAGGGAGGCTCCCCAGAGGGCAGTTTGGGTAGACATTAAAGCTGAGGTGAGTGGCCACGCCGAGCGCTTTCCTTTTTTTGTGTTCTGTCGTGACTTGCCGAGAGGAATAGCTTCCGGTTCAACAAACTCATCTCCATCTAGCGCTGTGAAGGCCGCCTGGCAGCGTTGGGGATGGGGCATTTTCGGGTAGACTTTAATCCCTACTGATAACCTTTTGTGCACGTTTTGGTTGTGATCGTATTTCTTTTGTATAATCTGGGTTACGTTGTATTTCAGCTTTCTGCTGGCAAGTGGTTTCACAGCTCTTGCTTTTTTCCTTCATCCCTTAGGTTGATATCCTTTCAAGAGTTTGTGGCGTTTGAATCAGTCCTGTGTGCTCCAGATGCGTTGTTCATAGTAGCCTTTCAGCTGTTTGACAAGACTGGCAAAGGAGAAGTTACTTTTGGTAAGACTGTTCTTAAAGACTGTTCTTAAATGTACCCTCTTAATTTAAAAATCCCTGCTTATGCCAAACTCTGCTTCACCTTCTGTTACCGTAGGAAACCCAGTGGTTGGTAGTGGAACTGCACTAGCGCCAAGCAACTTTCTGGCTGAGGTGTTTTAATCATTTACTTGTGCACAATATGAGATCGCGGTCATCTTCATGAATTTCTCTGGAGAACTGGTCACTTCTCTTTTTTTCTCTTCCCCAACATGCTTGTGCAGGCCTTCAGAACAGCAGTGAAAGGTGGCTGTAGGAAATGACTGTAAAACCGCAAGAAAGTTGCCAGAAGACTTGGGTGAATGCTGAGTCTGAAATTACCCTGAATTATTTTTTGTTTAAATTGGCTATATTTCAAGCTGGCTCCCTTTTAGGGCTTAAGACTTTCTTCTGTGAGATTTTTACAGCAACAAATCCATTATTAAACCCCCCACCCCCTGCCCCAAAAGTTCAGCTGTGCATTGGAGGTGTGGTGTTTGCCCTGACAACGTGAGAAGAACTCAGGCCAGTTTAGAACTGGATTATGGGGACTGTTTATTTCTAGATACCGTAGAGACAGCTTTTGATACCTGCAGGACTATCTGCCACCTGCCTAATGCTAATGGCCATTCTGTCTGGAAGAAGGATTCGGAAATTAGCAGATTTGAGTAACTTGGATGAGTAACAGACATGGAGCTTGCACTTCAAAAACTGCGGGGGATTTTTTCCCCCTGAGTACCTGCACTGGATAAAATTGCTATTTCTAATCGGCTGCGTTTGGACATGGTTATCCATATGTCTTAAGGTTTATTAATCGGTTGTTAAACACTTCTAAGTAAAAGGAGAGTTGGATGACCTTGACTCTTTGTCTTTCCGAAGTGTATGGTTCCCGTGTCCTTTGTCTTTTGCTGGTATTCCCCACACATGTTAAAAAAGCCCTTCCCTTTGCATTTGAACTGACAAGGTCCTGTTCCCATTGCTTGAAGCATCTTTGTATTCCTTCTACCATCTCCAAAAATCTGTATTTGAAGTTGCAGCTGGTGAGACGACTTGCTGTCTCGTCTTGTGTCTATTTTGGTTTTTCGCTATTTTGGTTGTCTGCTGAGGTTGTGAAAGATGTGCTTTTTGTGTGCGACGTTACTTGTTAGAACAGCTTTGTAAAAATTACTACGGATCTGAAAGCTTTGGAAGAATTTCAGGAAGAAGTTTCTGATCATAACCTTGGTGAAGGAAGTATTTTGTGCCTAACAGTCCTGTGCATGTGTACGGACGGAGAGGCAGCGAGGGGTGGCATGCTTTTGCGTCAGGAGGGCGCACGTATTTTGCAGAGGTTTTGTCCCAGCACAGACAAACCAGGGTTCCTGTGATGTGCAGGTTCTGGTCTGCATCGGAGCCCCCCGGTTGCTTGGAGCGCTCGTTAATAATCTGGGAAGAACTGTCGTCGTTTGATCTGAATGCTGAATCAGTCCGACTTCGCTTTTTAACTCTTGGCATTCTTGTTCGCCTTTTTCCTGCTGGCAAGTGCCTCCCTTGGGGTTTGACACAGTGAGTCAAGGGATTTGTTTGGCATTTGAAGTCCATTGAAGTCCTTCTAGTGATGAGAGAAACTCCGGTGCCAGGCTGTAGTTAAGGTATTTGAAAGAGGAGACATGCCAACGTTGGCAGAACCTCAGATAGCTTGTTTTAATTCCTTCCTCCCGCCCTTTGAAAACGTAAATGCGTTTGTAACTTCTGCATCGTACCTTGTGGCTGCCAAACCCAGCGAACGCCTGGAGCGGGGAGGCTGTGAGGGCTGCCTCAGTGTTGTGCCTTCTCAGCAGAAACGGTTGACCTTCACATGAAGCTAGTTTCTATTTTCTATCTTAAGAAAAAAAAGACACACCCCCCCCTTATGAAAAAAGCCCTAATATTTTCACAAACCAGTTGTTACAGTACTAGCCTCTGACTTTGCCACTCAGTGCCTCAGTCATGCATCTGAGGTTAATTATGAGATCTTTTTCCATTGACTTGAATGAGAGTGGGATCAAGTCCTTATCAAGGTTAGGAGACTTAAATGGGGGTTTTGTATGCTGTGGAATTACAGTGTGAAAGGAACAGAAGAAAAGGGAAAGGATCGTTTTTCCCTGCACTGCTGTTAAGTGTGGTATCTCAAGGATCCCATTGTAAGTCTGTATCTCATTTGGCTGTTGTAAAGAAACAGCGTGGCTTATCTGTGCAGTCGTTGTTTTTCTGTACGCTGGGATAATGCTATAAATATTTTAGCTCGTGCTGAACGGAGTACAGGGCTTCCCAGCTGTGAACTTCACATTTTCTACTAAGCAAATCATCCAAATCTGGCTCTTCCACAGGTACACTTCGTCTGGCACCTTTGTGAAACAGGCTAATAAGGGGCTTTGCGTCAGCGAGCTTTTACACCGAGTGCCGCATCCAGGCTGAGGATATTTAGAGAAGCGTTCTGGGTGAAGAAGTTCCAGTATTTAATCCTCGGCACACACTTTCCTTGAAAACTGCTGCGCTCTTGCTTTAGCTGCTGGGTTGGAAATGCCTTTGTGTTTTAGCCGTAGGTTGGCGTCTGCAGTTTGAGATGTTTCATTTCTTTCCAGTCGCACTTGAAGGGTACCTGGTTCCTCGAGGGAGCGTCGGTTTAAAAGGGCCGATGCACAAGCAAGTGGGTCTGTCGTGGCGGGTGGGAAGCACTTCCAGTTTAGTGCTTTTCCAGGCGAACGGAACGGCCGCTGGTAAATTAGTGGCCGGTGGCTGGTTGAGTCTGCGCCTGGCCGCTGCATCATGTCGTAGATTTATCTGCTGCTGAAGTGCCAAAGCTTTTGCAGTTTGCAAGCTCTCAGCATGAAAGTGGGAGGAAGTTTAGCTGGCTTTTAAATTCGAGGCAAAGAGCAAACCGTTGCTTCTTACTGTTGAGTGTTGACAGGCACATAAAAGCTGATAATGTAAGTCCAGGGGTTTAAGAGACTTAGCAGAGTTGCTTTTTTGTCGTATGACTGTATTTTAATGCCTCATTAAAGAAGCAGAGCCCTTTGAAATTCTTTACTAGATGGCACTTAAGCAAAGGTGAGATGGTTGGGTAAAAATGTCGGTGTTTAAAAACTAAGGAGTCTTAACCTCCCTCTCTAATTTCGGATGGAGAGATGAAATGATGGGAGCTAACAGGTCTGAGCTGTGAACACCGCAGTGGTGTATCCAGGGACTCGAACTTTCCTTTTCTCATACCGGTTCTGGCAGCCCTGCTGAAGGGCGAAAGAAGTGCTGTCCGTGTCGGTTCTGCTCACAGGGAGAGGAAAGGCACGAAAAGAGACGCGATTGCCCCAGTCTGTGCTGCCAGCCGGCGCTGAACCTGGCTTTGAAGGTTGTCCGACTGATTTGTTCTAAAGTAGGATTTCCCAGCAGGCTGAAATTCTTGCTCTCGTACTTAATGAAATGTAGCTGAGGTGGGCACTGTGTGTTTTTCTGGGTTCGGGTTTGGTTTTTTTAAAGGTCCTCTAATGCAACCTGAAGCTGTTTCAAAATGGATGCTGCGCCGTGCGGCTTTGAGAGACAAGTCAGTCCTTTAATTAAAAAAAAAAAAATAGAGAAAAAGCAAAAGCGAAACAAAACCCCCCAAACGCAGCAAAAACCTGAAGGGGATGGGGAACCCAACCCCCAATTTATTGTTTGTTTAGCCTAACAGCTGCAGAATCGAGCGATGTGTTCTGCTTTTGTCTCAAAACAAAACTTTATTTACGTGCAGACAGCAGCTATTGTGGATCTCCGCTTCTGTTATCCATTATAGCAGTACAGTGCTTGGATAAAGACATTAATTAAGGATACATCTTACTCAGCGCTCCTGTTTGCTTGTCTGATACCCAAATTGCCTGAATACTTGTTTGTAAACTTTGTAAAAGCACCTCGCTCTCAGCAGAGGTTCAGGTAGCCACACAGCTATTGTGATGAGCCCCAGAGTTTCCCCCCTACGACAACCCTCTGATACTTTTTCCATATGCAAAGAATTCTTACAGGAGTCTCACAGTTGCTTTCCCGACCAAAGGATTAGGTTCAGACTGCCTGAGCTAGCTCCTGCCTTTGTTCCAGAGGATTATTTATTTTATGCTGTGCCCTGTAATTGCGTGGTATGACTGGGCTCTTCTTACGGGGTCTGTAATTCCCTTTTTCTCTTGCACAACACCTCGCTTAGCGATGCCAGCCCGGGTACGCTCAATGCCATGTGAAGCAAGGAAAAGCTACATCTGAACGACCAAAATAAATTGCTGAGGCTGTGAGCTTTGGTCACTCGATAGATTGCAATATTCAGTATTTCTCAGTGACTTTTCCAGTGCTGGTTCAAATTGGTCAGCAGCTGTTTGTAGCTAGTGGTGTGCTAGCTGTTGGTGGTGTACAAACGGCAGTTGCCTGGATATGGTGATCCCAACGGCAACGTTGCAGATGCAAGATTTGTTTCGTGTCTGGTATTTATTGTTGTTTGTACTGGGTGTTGCACAAATAATGGCCGGTTTTGATTGCAAGAGGGTGTAAGGTAGAGTTGTGAGTGTATTTGATTCCTTCAAAACAATTTTTGAAATCTTCTCGATCCTATTTTTGGAGAATTTAGTTTCTAGACATATGTCAACTTGACAAGGTTTTCTTTTTTTGGATTTTTTTTGGTTTTTTTCCCTTTTAACTAAAATGTTGTGTAACCAGGCAGACTGTCATGAGGGCATCTTAAGTAAAACCAAGCCTGTTCAGTCACAAAGTGAATCCATCATTTTGAATATTAGGAGAAGCTCCATCCTCTTACACAGTTGTGTTTCGTTTTGGTCTAGAAAATACAACTGAGTTTTCCAAGTCACCCAGAACTGATTTTGGTGTTTCGGTTTGTTCTTTGTTGTTGGTTTCATTCTGATTTTTTGGGTGGTTTGTTTTTGGTTTTCTTTTTGTTGTTGTTTTTTTAAAATCAAAGCTGCCTCCTGACAAGCATCAGGCCGAAGGCTGAG